AAGAAGCCTACCAAAATCAATATATATATAGAGAGAGAGAGAGAGAGAGATTTGTTAGCTTTGTTCCTCTTTCCTTTTGACACTGAGATAGTAAAGCTGACAATATCAAAATTTTTCTGGTTTGGGTTTTAATTTCCTTTGTATTGCCTTGAATACTTTCGGAATTTCTACATCTTTGAAAATGAAAAATGAAATAATGCCTCCTTTGTGTCAAGTTTCAAGCACTGGAAAAGGTTTTTCAAGGTGCTTCAGTAGCAACTACTCAGAGAAACACTTGAAAAATGGAAAAAAAAATTGTTTGTGTGGGCAGAGGTGCCTGTTCAGCTTCCATTTACTGTCCACAGTTGCAGACAAATATTTGAAACTATTAAAATTTGAAAATAATCAGATTTTGGTGTTCTAAAACTTTACAAGATTTTATTTTGAAAATTATTTTGTGTCAAACAGTACAAAATTCAAAAAAAATTCTGACTCTGGCAGACTCTGCTTTGTAGTGCCAATAATAATGAGCATCAGTAAAAATAATGCTCCCAGAAGACTCTATGTAGCAATTTCCTAATAAAGAAAAATACCTTCATCTTTACCTAAATTTCCTCATTTCAAATATTCATCATACTTACACAAACCTGATAATCTGTTAGTGACTGTACATAGGAGAATTATGCTAACTGAGTCAAGGAGATTTAGTCAGCAGAAATATATTTTTAAATGCGGTCATTGATTCTGCGTGTCCCCCTCTTTAGACATGTGACGTGGGATTTAGCAGGGTTCTGATTTTTCAGACATGTCATGCAAGCTCACACCCTTTCAAACGTGTTTCGTGGTTGAAGTCTTCCACCCACATATTTCTTAGCGTATGCAATATAGTATATACAAATCACACCATAAGACACTCACACACGCACGCAGATTTCACAGACCAATAAACAGAAAGAAAAATGCAAGAATTCATTAAGTTGAGGAAAGAAATAGCATAAAGAGAAACTGATAGCTACAAAATATATAGATCTAGGACAAACAAAACAACACTTTCTATTTCTAACAATTGGTAGCCTACTCTTCACCTTCCAAAAATGCTATTTTCATCCTAAATTTGCCCCAGTACATTGGTTTCCATCCTTCTCCATGTTATCCTTCCATGCACACAAAAATATCAGCTGCTTGCTGTTGTGGTGGCAAGGTTCTCCTTTGCGACAGGAAAGGATTCATGGCCCCTCAAGCTATTGCCAGGGCCAGGTTGTGGTTTTACTGCCAGAAGTTTCGTAAGTGCTGTGTGGTCTGCTTGCTCTCCTGCCACTATGGAGTCTGTCACTTCTCTGCTCCCCAGTCAGCCTGGGCGAAGGGGGTTTTAGCAGGTTACACGCATCTGCTCAAAAAGCACTTCACTTGCGCCGTTCGGGTGGCTTATGACGAAATGAATGCACTTCCCCACCTTCCATACGTACAGCCTATGGTACACATACTTATCACAGAGAGTCAGCCAAAGGGCCTTAGCCTCACAGTCCATGGTGGCTGAGCAAAATACTGGCATTTTAAAGTGGAAAATGTAAAAGCGAGTCCTCCTTCAGGTCACATGTAAATGCTTTTTAGCAGGTGAAGATGTGTCACTTGAGCCAGCCTGCTATCTGAAACCTGCAGGACAGGGCAAGAGAGGTACCAGCAGAGGCTACAAAATGCTCTAAAGTTGAGCAGAGTTTGGAGTCTTATGCTAGACTCACCTCAGAAAGTCAATAGAATTGTTGAATCAGAGTCTAAGGTATTCCTGTGTGAATATACAGGGGACAAGAACAGAGACAAGAACGTGACCGGGTGGCTTGCCCAAAACTGTCATTGTAGGTGTAACGAGTCTGCCAGCAACATGAGATAACAGCCCTGAGAGACGCAGGTGACTTTAATATATCCCCTTCAATATACACAGCTCGGGCATTGACATCTAACTAAGTCTGAGAGTATTGATATTAGCTCCACGATCTGTTCCCTAGATCACAAAAGAGAGTGTGACCACATGGTGAACACACAGCACAAGCTCTTTCGATGACTTTTCCTTCTTGATTCGTGATTGGAAAAAACTTGGGATCATACCCTCACTTAGGTTTCCTACATCTGACCTAGGTATTAAGGAATCCTGAGTTGCCACGTTACTCACTCTTTTCCACAGAGAAGGTTATGAGACAACAAATCTTGCTTTCCTTTTCCTGTTATTCCATAAAAAGAAGATTTTTTAACAAAAATCAATTTCTTTTGTCACTTTGTGAATGAATTTAAAGCAATGAGTAGTCAACACATGTAATCCCCGGGGCTTGAAAGCTTAGCACCTCAGTTGGAACACAGAGGGATGCAGCCCCAGCTGGCCTTGGAAAGCCAGGTGAGCAAAGACCACCTGCTAAAGGGAAGTTCCCTGCTGGTGCCTGTTGTTCTTCAGAGAGGGACAGGACAGAATAGGCCAGGACCCACATTGCATTTCTGTTACAGAAGATTTGGGACTGTTTTGGTCAATTCATTAACTTAATCCATTAAATTTTTAATGGCAGGGTAAAATAAAATGTAAAGGTTTTCTACTTAGAATTATGTCCACCAAGCAGGACTGCTGGTCATGCTGACCACAGCTGGCAGAGGGGAGCTGGAAGGGCATGGGACAAAGCACTGGGTCAACCCCTCCACAGCAAGATGTCCCTTGGGGTCCCTCAGGCTCCTGTGTCTCCTCAGGAGAGCTGTGGCAGTGCCAGCCCACCTAATACAGCCCTTGCCAGCAAGTGTGAAAGGGGAAGAGTAGGATTCAGGCTATTGGCAAATAATGTCCTGGGACAGGGATCTAGCTTGAAAATGTTGATTTCTGAATGTGTTTTTCCCAAGTTAGTTAGCTCCGTGTTTCCCTCCTCACCCCATATGGTCCTGGCTGTTTCAAATCACCAGATTCAGCCTGTCACTGGAAGAAGACTGCTCAGCCCACACCCGAACAGCATCATTTCATTCCCAGACTCCTGCCTCAGGTCTGAGCCAGCGTTGCTTCAGATTTCTTGGAAAGAAGCTTTAGGCCACAGGTTTCATGCGTGGTAACTGCAATTAGCTAGGCTTGTCCATGTAAGAATCCCCTTGTCACCCACAACAGTGACGTCAGCAAGGGATAAAATCCAAGCAAATTTCAGATGCAAAAGTAACATTTATTATTCCCAAAATACATCTCATGTATCCCCATCTCATGGGGATAGGTTAACGCAGCATTCAATTTACATATTCGATGCTTATTTTAGCTTTACAACTCACTGTTGATATAGAGTCAGGATCCATACAAAACAATTTAACGGTGTAAAAAGGTTGTTATTTTCATGATTTATTTAACTCTCTTCAGCAATACAACATGGTGCAATAGGGAAGAGATCGAAGGATCTCTGAATTGAGGACGAGACTCTTAACTGATTTGAACCATCTGGCAAGAATGATTTCCTTGATTCCAGGGCATGCATCCCACAAATTGCTATAAACTAATAAAACTGTACAGCCTACAGGAACAATGAAATATGATAACAAACTCAAGCTGTTGAATGAATAGTATAGCCAACAGCTCCCCAGAATGGTTCGTTGATTAGTCAACATCAATACAGAAAAGCTTCACGTGGATAATTTATGGTTCACATAAAGATCACATTTTTATAACATTCTCCTGTTCGCTCGGAGATAATAAAAGACATACTCCAAATCAATATTTATTATTTTAGTTTTCCCTTCCTTCCTACTGGTAAGCTTGACATCCTTCTCCTCCCCATTTATAGCCTGCCATTGCTAACTGAACTCCTTCACAGCCTCTGAGATAAGTATCAGTAAGAGATCCATATATCAAAATAGCAATAAACGAATCCCTTGAGACACATTTAACCGCAATGGAATATTTTCAAGATTTAGAGACAAGTTGTTCCATGAGGAACAGAACTACTGAACCTTGATTTCCTGCAGGTCAGTGTCTTACAGCTTTCCTCTTCAACCCCAAATAACCCCTATCTGCTTCCACTATCTAGAGTTCCCCATGTCTCCTCAATCCTTTTCCCTATAACATTTTGCCCTACAATACCTTTGGTTGCCTTCCTGTCTCCCGGGCTTGATAACAATCCCCCTAGTTTCTTCTTCATCCCCTGCTTTCCTTTTCTCTCTTGCCACAAGGGCAAGAGACAACAAATCGTGTGACTAGGCTGGAAGAATGCATTGGAGAGGTGGTTAGCCAGAAGATACACACTCCCAGCCAGCTGGCGGGCTGCCAGACATAAGACATGGCACTGAATTGTCCAGACAGGTCACGAAGACAATCTCTTTCGCTTTCCCCCCTCCAGTATTTTCTTTCAAAATTCAATTAATAAATTATTATTACTGAAAATGCTTTCTCAAGTTTGGTTTAAAGCAGTCAAGAGTTTCACAAGTTACCAGAAGACCATCAGACAGGAATATAATCCACTAACCCTCTTCTCCCAACACCCCAAAGCTAACCACTTGACAATCAGCTCTACACTCCACTACTGAGTGTCAATTAACTCGCATGACTCCAAGGTGGAGCATTCTCTTCTATTATCACAAGTCTATTTATAAAATTTCCTTGTTCAAAAGAAGGAAAGAAAAGAAAAATTACTTGGAGTATAGGGAAACACTAGCAATTGGACATTTAAGCCAAAGAGGGCTGCAGTAGCACATTTTACTGCACAGCACCTAAAAACAAAGTGTAGCTGCCTGAGTGGTAGTGGTTTATAGCCTTTTAGGCAAATATCAGCTAATACCGTGATTCATGTCCCTAGTCACTCTCTAAAGCAGCACTGTGTTCCTTCCACTGTGTTTTAGATGTGTGCAACAGAATGTTACTGTTTGCTCCAAAACACACTTTATGACTTGCTTCCTTTTCCTTTGGTGTATTAGCAGAGGTTTTTGGCAAGCCTTGACTCCCTTCCAAGGATTTGAGAACAAAAGGGTGAGATTTTAATTTCATTTACTTTTAAGAAACTGGGGGCCTCTATGAGCCAAAAGCTGTTGTCCTCTGAGCAGTCTCTGGCCCTATCTTTACATCCACAACAGAAGTTTCACCTTTGAGTTTGGGCTTTCACCAGGAAGAACTGAGAACATATCCTTAAAGCTATTTTGGCACCTATTGATCATTTTGCTTACCTAAGACCATCATTTATATGCTAACAGCAAGCTCAAGGCTGCCACTCAGCTGCCAGTCAGTCCCACAGGTACTGAAGTTTTCCTGGATCACCTCAGCACCTAGCACCGCCTTGTCAATCACTGCAGCACCGAAATGTAGGCTTGTCTCACCAGCAGGCTCCAAAACAGTAACTACACTCAGAGCATGACAAACACCAATCTGTTGCCACAGGAGGGCCAAAGCCCTGGTGCTGCTCACCAGGGGAATGCTGACCGCCGCCACAGGGCACCTGCAGGACACAGGAGAGCAGGAGAGGCACTGGTGGAGCAGAGGGCTCAGCTCCTAGGTCTGGAGATGTCTCAGATGGAAACTTATCCTCGGGAGAGCACCCACATCTGAGGCCCTGCACAGAGGAAGAGAAAGAGGAAGGGCTTCATAGCTCAGGTTCAGCCTGAGGCTGATGAACCCTCGGGGAAGCATAGCCACAGCAGTGTTTATCAGTTTGGGTCAGCACTAGCTGGGCGATCTCTGCATCACATGTCACGTAGGCATGCTCCAACTTACTTCTTAATCCACCTCAGGCAGAGGAGACCTAATGGCTTGTGGGGCTCCTCTGTCGTTGTCCTCACTGCACTGACCCTCCTCCTTCAAAGGGGATGCTCCTTCGTGCCTTCACGTTGCCTAGAGAGAGAAAGGAGCTGTCTCAAGCCGTAAATTTATGAGATGTCAAAAAACTTGTTGATTGGAATGACAAAACCTTAAACTGCACATGGGGCAAAGCTCACCGGCACAGCAAAGGCAACATCAGTTATTCCATTTCATATCCAGATGCTGGCAGCCTGGCAGCCAAGGAAACAAGGAGAGCTAGACTATTCCTGCTCCCGGTGTCGAAGAGCATAGAGCATTGTTATTCACTGCACCGCAAAAATCACTCTGCTTGGGCTCCTGATCAGCAAAGTCTTTTCACAGTATACAGTGGCACTGGCAATTTACAGTATTACATTCTGTGTTGCTTAACATTTTAGCCCTTCAAAGGTTAAACAGACTTCTATTTACTTTCTGTCAACAAAGGCTGACAGACTTCTGTGAAAGCTCAGCTTGCAGCAACTTTCTGACTTTCAGGTAGAGATTCAGCCTCTGCGGATGTTGCAAGTTACTCATGAATAATAGGAGATTAAGGCAGAGTCATGGCCTCAGTATCTGATAAGTTAATTCTTGGATAGATGCTAAGTTACAAATCGGGAAAATGATTGAGTCCATGTGCTCACATGCAGTGGCAGATTTACTTCACCCAGCCGAAATTATTCCCAATCTTGCCTCTATGGCGGCACAACTCTGTGTGAGGCCACACGGAGAACCGCATCAGGAACAGAGGGAGATGGAAAAAACTAGTATAGATTATTTTTTAAATGATCAAACAGTTCTGTTGGCAACAACATAAAGAATGAGATGGAAAGAGAAGGGACAAAGGAGCATAGGAGCGCAAGAGAGGGAGTGGAAACTGTTTAAGAAGTCATTGCCACCCAGACAAGAGCACACAGGTCTGCAGCCTGAGACGTCTAAATCCCATTTGTAAGTCACTTAGCATTCCCCAAATCTCATTCAAAGGGGGATGTAGATATCTCAGGCACATAGGGTTTTTTTAAATGTTACCCCTAGTCCATATTGACAATTCTACACTATTGTCATTTCATTTCAGCTTTTCTCTTGGACGTCGTCTATATATTTATTCATATGAAACGAGACATGAAGGAGGAAAAAAGACTGGGCCAGACCAAAGCTTGCTGGTTTTGTGGATTTCCTCAATAAATCTCTCTATTTTTCTGATAATGACAATTCTTAGCTGACTGCAGCTTATATCTCAGTATTATTGTACAGCAGACATTTGATTAACTTCTGATTAAGCTACAAAAAGTATGTATTTGTCGGTCTTATTCTTTGTTCAGAATATAATGCCTACATCACCAGCAAGAGAGAAAGTGAGGAAGGAAGAAGCTATACTTCCCCTGACGTTACAGAATACATTTGTATAGTGGACCTTCCAATGCCTTGTAAGGAGAGCTTTTAAGATTTCCAGTTACTGAATATCCTATAAATTTCTCTCTTTTATTTTAAATAAAAATAAATCCAAGCCTCACTCTCTGTAAGAACAAAATGTGAGAGAGAGCACATATTGTACAGACACACATTGTACAGTACTGCCAACATCTGTTGCCATAATAAAAGAGTACAGCATTCAAAGCAATAATAAAAATTAGAATAAAATGCTGAAAATACGATTTTTCATTGGTTTCATTCTGCTAGACAGCATCACGTACCTGAGTGGTATAAGGCTATTGCTTATCTTTCAGTGCTGAAGTTCTGGCATTCTGAGCTTCAGCAATTCTCATTAGGCTCATCTTCAGAACTGCGCTATCCTTTATCTTTTCATATATTAGAAATAGATCAAATTGCTATTACAGAAACATGCCTTCTTTTTTTGATAAAACAGCATTGCCTTCGTGCTAGATAATATGTTCTGCTGATGCATGTTAGTAAGCTCCTATTCTTTTGTATCAGATTCTATGAAAAAGCACATTCTTTTTAGCTATTGAATTGATAGGTTGAATAGGTTTGTCAGAATAAAACAATAACACTTAGATTAACAAATGAAAAGTGCAGAAAGTCCTAAGAGGCATTTGGTTTAGATTGACTGAGGATATTTTCCTGTCATGGGATCACGTTAAAATTTTTACTACTATAATAATAATTGTCATAAAAAGTCTTACATAAGCATGCCTAGAGAAGTAGAATTGCAGGCTAAATTTCTTACTCAGCCTGTAAGCAGGAATTAGCTAGTGTTCAACTATTGCGGTTTATGGACTACATTATCCCATTGATTTGAATGACAGATTACAAACATAAAAGAAGTAAAAGCCTCTGCCCTGAGGAATTTACACATTATTAGAAGAGTTGTCTTACAAATGGTGAAATAATGCAAGCAATAGGATTTTTTACTTTTTAAATTAACTTGTTAAATTGTCATCACTACCCAGCAAACATTTAACTAGAACATCTGAGATATGCCTACTATTCCCCGCCCCCCCCCCAAAAAAGTCTCGTAATTAAAGGTCACGTTCAGCTCAGAAAGGTGAATTTGACTGGATCATACAGCTCTATCCGGATTTAAGCTGACTCATTTTGCATGCCACATTTTTCATATGTGATGTCCTCAGTTACAAAGGGAAAACAGACTGTTTATTGAAAACATACTAAAATTCTCCCACCTGAGAATTTTAAATGAATTTATATGCAGTCTGTACATTACATATATCAGCCAATGTGCATAACTCTGTAAGAAGTGAGGGCAATTTTCCAACACCTGAGAGTCAAAGAGACTTAATATATCAATTTTTCTAACTCAGTGCTTTACAATACAATCCTGTCACTGCCTAAATCTCTGATAAATAATAAACCCTTTAATGATAACTTCACCTTCTATTAACCAAAATGTTCTTAACTTTTGAATTGCAAAATTAAATACAGGGATATTGCTCTATCATGTCTTACATACACTGTTCATCATTTTACTATTCAATTAAAAAAAAAAGTAACAACAGAATTCAACCTAAAGCATTACTGCTAATCTACTTCTGTGCTGCACAGTTTCAGCTGGAAACAGGAGCAGGTGAAGGTCTACAAACAGAGTTCATATTTTAAAAATATTTCGAGACAACAACCTCAATCTTATTTGGCTAATCATTATGGAAATGCAGTGACTCTTTAGAACAGTAAATCAGTAGTAGCTATCTTTTTATATCATTCCTATTACATTACTATTACTGTTAGTAATTCAGCTTTATTTTATATATACCAATCATATATAATATGGGCATATTCACAACAAATTGTAATAAAAATGCCACGTAGCAGCCTTGCAAAAATAACACAAAGGCAAAAAATGCAACTCCAACAACCAAAACAGACATCAAATCCTTCAGATAGGCCCCCCACAAAAACTTACTGGATAAGGAGAACGTGTTCAGGCCTCCATCACTGGCCAGAAAACAGCTTCTTTGATTGTACAGAGGATGGAGTATGTAGTCATGACCCAAGATTAGAAACTTCCGCCATTGTCACTGGCTGACATGACAAAAAACAATGATGCTTTTTGATGACAATTTTGTTTATAGATTTCATCTAGATAACCTTTTCTAAGGGGTGGCTTACTAATGGTGATAATGTACCTAAAGGCAACATCCTTTCATCTAGCAATTAACTGGAGTCAGTGTCACCCCTTTTGCTGCTGCAGAGTTGATAACAGCAGCCATTGATACCAGCTGTTACGATTTCAGGGGTGCACAAATGACTCAAGAATTCCTGGAGTTTCCGAAAGCTGCACTTAAAGCTCCCATGTTTGCCCAAAGCCAGGGAATTTCAAGTGCACTCCCTTCGAATAAGTTTTAAACTCCCAGAATTCCTCTGTCCTCACAAACATCAATATTATTGTGCCTCTAAAAGGCAGCAGGCCAATCGGTGCCTCGTATGTGTAAGTTGCAAGTCAACGTATACTGGATTTTTCTAAGTGAACCTTTCCCAGGTCTACCTTCCAATTTTCCAGTGTGCTCGCAAGAAATAGATTCGCCGAACTCAAAGATCACTGTTTTCAGCAGTGATTATAACAGCTCTTATCCACTATTTGAGGCCTAGAGGAGAAGCAAACTTATGTCAAAGTTACTCGTTACGTTACAGTACTCATTGCATGACTTGAGAAGCCAGTTCCTTACAGTGGTCTTTGGTTAGTCTGACACAGAGACGTGCCCATGCTCTACAGAATGTTGTCATATAGTTTATCTTCTTAAGGCATTTTTCCCAGTCTTTGACCAAGAATTTGAGGAGGACTGATTCACTCAAGGAGCGTCTCAATTTTTCGCTGCTGCTGAATCTTGTAACCTGTACGATGATCTCAGAATGCAAGCTTGTACTGGACACACTATTGCTTTTCTCACTAGCTTTAGTGCTTCTGGTAACCATCACAGCTTTTTAAGATGTCTCTGACAACTACTTGGCTAACTAGTAGGTCTGTCTCACAGAATAGCTTATTATACACCAAAGTCCAGGTAACCATGATACTGAAGGAATTTAAAAGTCACATCTGGTCCCCTTCCCTGGACAACATAAAGTTTACAACATGAATGTAAGGAATTCAAAATGCCGTCAGGTTTTCACTTTCAAAACCTTTTAGGTGACTGAGTTATACTTCAAACGAATGCATGATTTATAAAAATGAGTAGTCACAAAGGACTCAGTCAAAATGAGCTTGGCAGATGTTATCAGAAACACTGCTGATACACTGAAGTGTCTCTTCCAAATGGGCAACATCAAATTTGATTATTCTGCAGCCAAGGAAGGAATTAATTCCATAATAATCTAAAGAAGTGTTTCACATATAACTTTGTCAAGCCTGTCAACACAGGTATTGTGCCAACCCTTCATTAGCTGTTGGATAGAGCCTCAAGCTATGGTGCAAAATTCTACACATCTTTCTCACAAACATGTTTCTTGGAAAGATTTGCCAATAGTAAACAGAAGATTGCAAGTGGTTTGGAAGTCACCATCCCCAAAATGTTTCCATGTAGCCTGTGCATTTATGCACATAGCTTTTGCACAAAGAGTTTAATCAAAAATACTTACATTTGGCA